TTATCTTATGGGCTTGCTAGCATACCGCTAGTTATTGATACGGCCAGTAAGACACATAATCGTTTTCAGATTTTGATACAGCATTGAAGCAGCGTAAGCACCGTCCCCTTGCTTCTAGTGTCCTTGGAGACCATTTAGGCAAGCCACGGCTCCATCGTATTTGAGCACCTGCAGTGTATCGATGCAAAACCGCGTTACTAGGCAGGATCGTGGCATCGATGCACTGCAGTGCTCAAATACTATGGAGTCGCAGCCTGCTAAAGTGGGCACCTAGGCCGCTAGGAGCATGGGGCCAGTACTCAAGCCGGTATCAAAAACTGAAGAGAAATCAAGTTACTTCAAAAAATGGCTAGTGAGTGCAAGGTTGCACTTGTGGGAAAGGTATTCTTATGAAACTTCGCTTGCTAACCGATCCTTCTTGGGATGCTTTGATTAAGTGGACTGAATGCTAGAAGATAGACTCGCAAGGGGCACCCATCGCAATGCCAGACAGAAGCGGATATGAGACAAATGAAGACCAGACGACTCACATATGTCCAACACCTGTCATTGTCGTGTTTTGAGTTTAATGTTGCTGATGATCGTGTGAAACTAAATAAAATCCTACGGTTGGCATAAACGATCAGGGTCTGGGATGTCGTTATTGAAAAGTAGTCTGTTTACGTTTTTGCAATTTTCACGAGCTGGATAACGAATCACCCATCTCGATATAATTTTATGACATCGTTCAAGACTTCGTACCTATATATAAAAAATATATAACGATTAAACGTAACCTCAACATATCATATCTATCTCTATCCTCGTTATCGCGTTTGCATGTGTCAACATGACCGTTTTTTGTCAATCAACATTTTACGTTCACGGTTAATAGGCGAGTCATGAGTTCTTCGTAACTTACGCTGACGTACGACAGCATCTGCTATTCATATGCCAGCGGATGACGATACTCGTCAAATAAACTATTGCAAGAGGCACAAGACTTAAGTGAGTTTCAACATTTAAAACTAGAAGTAGTTTTAAAAATACGCATGATTATAGTTTAATGAGAGCTGCAGACACCTCCACGGTAATATGCATTTGCATTGGAAGGAGTAGTGTAACTTATTACCAAACACTTTTTATGTCAGTGCATATTTTAGGTTTTGCGGCATGATCGAAAACATGGCTCGATGCACTGTTTATGCTATAATGCCATGAAGTCGTTCCGTCTAAATGGTGTCATGTGCCTATAGGAACAGAGTGCAAAACAAACAACACAAAGCAAACTTGTAGAATTCACTGGATCATTTTTTCCTGGCATGTCATCTATCCGTTTGTGATTGCTAGTTCTTTACGAAATAAACAACAGTTGTTGTTGTTGGGCTATCGTCGTCACAGGCTTGCAGAGCTGAAACATCAGAGTAACCCCGATTTATGATGTTTGAGATTTAGAAACGATATCTCAGACGACAGTTGGAATTTCGAAACGCCTCAATTAAGGATTCGGGCAAAGTGCACCTGTACTAAAGGGCTATTACTCTGAACAGTACTTTCTTAATATGCATAATTTCGCTACTGAATCATCAGCAGCCAACCTCGGCTCCAAGCTTTGCCATTTCTGCAGATTATCGATTTAATTTTTGATTTACTAACGTTGTAAAGCTAACAAATGATATGCCGTGCTCGTGATTACAGGTAGAACTTGTCGCATGTGATGAAAACCAACCAGTTTTCATAATGAACTTACCTTCATCGAGATCGATCGATCGCTGTTTCTTCATGACGGTAATTATCATCAGTAAGCAACGTTGAAAGTCAGTAACAAGTATTAGATCTAATTTCTAATACTCCGTCGCCAAGAGCTGTCATGAACCTTGAAACGATTAGCTAATGAGAGTGTGATTATATGGAATTAAGGCTAATTTTTACCCATTTAAAGGAAACATCTAACGACATATGACTATGAAACTCGAGAAAAGAGAAAGATTACGGTTCGTATGAACTCCGGAAAACGACTTCAATTGTTCTGCCATCCATCTGAGGGCAATTCGGTCACGAATCCAAAGAAAAAAGACGAACCAAAGGGGGATCAGCAGCATCTGGTAGGGGACAAAGACAACGTGAAAATCGAAAGAAGATCGATCGAACTTGAATCAAGGACATAAGGACATAAAACTAAACGAACCATACCTATGCTAATTGCCTGGTATAGCCCGTAGGGAAACGCGGTGCAAAAACTTGTGGCACGAGTCTCTAAGCGAGAGGTCGCGTAGGCCTTGCCGGTCTCCGACAATGCTTTTGAACGCTTAGGCATCGATTGCCCGCTCTACCGTAACCATCATAATGCCATAGCCCGGCTTCCAGCTGAATCGCAAGATTTTTTTTACGTTCCCAGGTTCAGTCCTGAAAATCATAGTAATTTTGCAGTCCATATTGCAAAATGTCCTTTTCGTATATGATAAGCTCGTTCTGTGCGTCTGCTATACCCCCTAGAAGCCTGTTAAAGAGCTGCTACTGTTTTGTAAACATGCACTTTGACTTGACGAACTGACAAAAAATGGATTCGCTCTTTGCACTGTTCTCGCCTTGAACCCTCAGTGTTTGTCGATACCAGAACTGTTGTCATTATTCCACAATTATTAATAATAATTTCTTGAAGTAGAGTCTCCATAGCGTCCAACAGCTCAGCAACGACCGAGACACGATGTATTTCCGGTTGCCAAATATTGACGGGCTGCCAACGGTGCTGAATGTAAGAACTTCATCGAATTCTGCTTAACTTAACTTTGCTAGAAAATTACGGAACCCCTGCCACTTAAACAGACTAATCTTCTATGGTGTTTAGCCGCACTGCTGTACCGGTACAAGCTGCTAAAATGGACTTTCTGAGACCAATCGCTGTGCTCACATGTCTCAATGAAGTCCACAGTTCTGATGTCCAAGAAGGTCTTAGTGCATGGCAGCTGCTTCTCCACATTTACAAGTGACCATTGAGACGATTTTGGCACTTTTTATGAAAGCATCCAGCAATAAAGGCAAAGCTGCCACTACTTGCTCGACTGACAGGCCAAGGATCTCGGAGAAGGCCAAGAATGACCAGCGGCAAGTGCCATGACGAACTCTGCTCCAACTTGGGTTATCTCTTGCCAAAGCTTAAAGGTTGGCTCAAAATCAGGAACGTTGCAGACAGTTTCCACCCCGAGTGATCAGGAAGAAAAACTGGCCGAACGATTGCTGCACCTATAGGTATCTCTCAGATAGAGAGGCTTCTCGTAACGTGTGACTTCTAGAACCAAAACCGAACATCTGGTTTAGCTGCAGCATTTACATAGAAAGACCGATAGGCGGTGAAGGGTGTTTCTGATGTTTCTTTGAGAGAATAAAAATTGCACCTCCCAGGTCACTAAGGGTACACCGATCAGTTCTTTTCTTGGAGGAAAAAAAACTCCTGTCTTTGTGAAAGATGAAACCCAGAAAGAACATC